TTTGACATTGTCCTATATGCCCAAAGGACTTCGGGCAGGATTTCTCTCCATCTCCCTTTAGCGTCGTTCAACCTCTTCTTTAAGTTTTGAATGGCAGTTTTGTTTGTTGATTCGGCCTGCCCATTTCCACTTGGGTGGTATGGCATTGATAGTATCCTTCTTATCTTGTGGTCTTCGAGGAATCTTGTTACTTTGCTGCCAACAAATTATTTTCCATTGTCACATACTATTTCGGCAGGAATCCCGAATCGACATATGATATGATCCCAAATAAAGTCTATAATTTCTCTCTCTCTTATTTTCTCGAACGCCTGCGCTTCAACCCATTTAGAAAAATAGTCAGTCATAAATAAAATGAATTTGGCTTTACCTGGAGTCGATGGCAGAGGGCTGACGATATCTATTCCCCATTTCATGAATGGCCATGGGGATAGGAGCGAGTGGAGTTGTTCTCCGGGTTGGTGGATCATCGGTGCGAACCTTTGACATTTGTCACATTTACGAACAAATTCCTTCACATCTTTGCCCATATCGATCCAATAGTACCCTACTCTGATTATTTTTCGAACTAACATATCGGCTCCGGAGTGGTTCCCGCAAGTACCCTCGTGCACTTCCCGTAGGATATAATCGGTATCTCCCGGACCCAAGCATACTGCCAACGGTCCATCGAACTTTCTTCGGTACAGCGTTCCGTCCGAAGCCAACGTGAATCGAGCAGCTTTAGTCCGTAGGGTTCTATAATCCTTAGGGTCCGATGGGAGTTTTTCGCTCTTCAAGTATTCAATATACTTGTTTCTCCAATCCCAGGTTAAGCTTGTAGAATTTATTTCGGCGTGACCTTCTTCGATTACCGATCTCGAAAGTTGAACAACATTCCCCGAATCATCTACCTCAACCGACGACCCCAAATTCGCAAGCGCATCGGCCTCATTATTCTGTTCCCGTGGTACATACCACAAAGTCCATTGTTTGAAATGGTGCAAAGTGACAAGCAGTTTATCTAAATACCTTTGCATTCTACCTTCTCGAACTTCGAAGGTTTTGTTTACTTGACTCACCACAAGCAAGGAGTCGCAATTGGCTTCAACGACTTCTGCTCCCATGTTTCTAGCTAGCTCGAGACCTGCAATCATGGCTTCGTACTCGGCCTCGTTGTTAGTCAACCTGATAGTTTTAATAGATTGCCTAATAGTGCTACCCGCGGGTGGTTTCAAAACTATGCCCAGCCCGGACCCTTTTACGTTCGACGCCCCGTCCGTGAAAAGGATCCATACCCCCGATGATGTACCTAATTTCAGCAGTTCTTTTTCGACTTTGGGTACGAGGGTTGGCGTGAAATCGGCCACGAAGTCTGCTAAAATTTGAGACTTGATGGCCGTGCGGGGTTGATATTCAATATCGTACCCACTGAGTTCGACGGCCCATTTGAATGAAGAGAGTTTGGAGAATTATGGAGTGTGAATAAAGGAGATTGATGCGTATAAGTAAAGTTTAGGCGGCTAAATTCGTGGCCATAATTACCTCGATAACCGGCAAAAGTTATGCTAAATCGTGGGATGATGCGTGTTTGGGGCATTGAATGCGAAGAGACGTGCGTCTAATTAACCGTCAGAAGCTTTTCAAAGGGAGTCAGAGAAATTCCCGCCAAAAAGAATGTTTCTATCAACTTCCCGGTGACACAAAGTTATGTCACCGGAAAGCAGGGGGACTATCTGTATAGGGTAAAATATGCTATGTTGAGTAATTGCATAAGAGAGTGACACATGGAACCGAAGGCAGAGGATAGCTACAACCGAAGACAATTGTTCCATTTATTACTGGAAAGAATGATGCTCATAAAGATGCAATAAATGTCTTCCACCCGGTAGCATTTAATGGAGAATATTCTATAACATTTAGTGCACTACCCGTTACAAAGAATTTATCATTCATACTTGCCGTTACACATTCTTCAATGACCGTTATAATTGACATTAAAGAAGGGCATGATCCTAGGACCTTGTTCCCTATGTGCAACTATAAATAGTGAGATTTGTTATCATTGTAGAGGAGACGAATTTTTCGGCAAACTTACGATATAATCTATTCAAAACTTTACACAATTTTACCTTCTTACCTTTTTATTTCATTACTGCTGTGCCCGGAAGCCTTGCTCCCGGAACTACTGTTTCTGCTATTTCATCTTATCTCAAGGCTAAGTATTGCATATTTCTTCAGTTCTTGTATTATTTCAGGATCGAATTAATTCACTTGTCTAGAAACTACGTATAAATTAAACTGTACCGTTTTACGGGTAAACATACACTCTACTCTTTTTTGTGAGATCATGCTTCCCATGCATTCACATGAAGCAAACCACCTGCTGCCTTTTTAGGGTCTATATCCATTTCTTTTCAACTCAAAATCAGTTATGTCGTGTTCAAACTTTGAACGATTAGTAATTCGACGGCCTATGACGATTTCTTAGAAGATGATGGGGTTGTGGCAGTTCGCTTCACACATTTAAGCACAAAATTTGTCCACACCCGATATTACACTAAGTAAATAAATGTAAGCAAGTCTAAATCAAGTAGAATGTGTAATCTTTAAAATAAGATAAATTATCTACTACAGTATATAAAAATGACCTAATAGTATAAAAATTATTTAGCGCATATTAATTAAACTCATTAACACGCCTTTTGCGTTTGTACTCGAGAATTAATGTAATTCATTTTCTTTTCTTTTTAAGGATGCAATATATAACTATTCAATTGCAAATTTAAAGGAAATAAACAAACTAAATGATACTTTATTTTTCCATTCAAACAGAATAACCTAGCTTTTCAAAATTTAGAATACTCATAAAATATAATGTGCAATAAAGGAATTCCACTATTGAAGCTTATATAGAGCGCTTTTCAATATTGTCAATCTTTTTGCAGACATACTCAGAGGAAAAGCATATTCGTTGACTTTTATAACATTTTGCAATTTGCAGAATGAAATTATCAATAGATATTGTTCAGTAGCTCAAGAACAAATATTAATTACAATAATGATTTTAAAAAGAGGACGAAGGAGCAATTTGATAAATGATAAAGAGCATCTTCTTTCGTTTTGGCCATCACAAAAACAAGTAAAAATTCCATTTAACTTGCATAAGTTAGATTAAGTCTTGGATAAATTCATGATATCATATTCACAGTAATTACTAGTTACAAGTTTTATGTTTTCTTGATTATATTGCGTGGATATACTCAATGATCCCTTTAATTAGTGGAGCTATTGGCCTGAGTTAGTCGATGTCTCTCTTTCTTTCCTTCATGGGATCTTTACGCAAATAGTCGGCCGGATTCACTATTTATGTTTTCTAGCCGGTATATATAAAGTATATATTAATTATGTATAGTTATACACATTATATATATATTATACATCTACTAGTTATATTTAGTTTAAATGGTTGGGTAGACAACTATTTAAGTTAATCCTTGTTCATGTGGATGAAAACTTAAGATTTTTTGTTAATTAATTGTAGAATTATATGATTAAACCAAAAGGTAATTTAATACTCCCTCCGGTCCATTTTAATTACTTTTTTATCTTTTTTGTGGTCCACAATATTTGATTTTTTTCAAATATGAAGAAGGAATTAACTTCTTTTTTCCAAAGTTGCCTTTGGGGTAAAGAACCTAGGAGTGTTTGTTGTATTTCTAATAAACAAATTAAAGTCAATATAGTCAATTTTATTGTTAATCTCTATTCAAGGGACTTCATCTATGAATATTGAACAGTAATATCCTTAATATGCATGAAAATAATCAAAAAATTCATTAAAGTGGAACGAGAAAAGTATCTATTAGAAATGCAGTCAATAATCATAGGCGAGTCGACTAATCCAGTCAATAATCATAGGTGAAGTCCCTTAAGTAGAGATTTCTAGGACTCCTAATTTTGGCTATGCTGAGATAAGAACTTCAATTTTTAATTATCGACACTTTAGTGTTGTTCATTATAATTATAAAGGGTGTTTAAAGTCTGAAAGCGTCACAATCATATTGATCTAGCTGTCGCATTATTTTATTCTAAAAGATGCTTTTTTCAACGTAGGTGGATTTGATATTAGACCAAAATTAATACCTAGCATACCCAATTTCAAGCCAACCCTAAAATACACGTGTGACTATGGGCTATAGACTATAATTGGTGAATTGTAGTCTCCAAGTTGTTGGAACTATTTGGAGGCCCCAAAATATAGTTAGTGTACTATACTTCTTTCGTCTTAATTTGTGTGAAGTTGCCTTGCTGAGTGATAGATTAAAATTTTAAATTTATGAGTTCTAAATTATAAAATATGCAATTCACAAGATTCTGATTTTTTTTACTTTAATAAGGGAACTGCAATGCTATCATTTGAATGCTCACAACGTAAATTATTTAACATATTTAATAATTTTTTCTGATATAAATATAAAATTTTGGTCAATGCTACAACTCTACCACCACCTTTGGTGGACCCCAATTTTTTTCTAAATAAGATAGATTTTTCAGACTTGTCTTGGTTTTACAATTACTCAATTTGTTTCAATTTAGATGACATACTTTTTTTATTAGGTTGTTCCAAAACGAATAATATATTTTTATATATAGAAATAATTTAACTTTAAACTTTTCATTCTACCCACATCTTTTATAGCCACACAAATATTATGACATTATTAAGATTTTGCTTCTTAAACTTTTAGCACCATATATTTTAAAAGTTTTTTTTTTCCTTAAACTTTATGTCATGTCAAACTAAATCATCTAAATTAAAATGGAAGGAGTAATAAATATTTTTCTCAGATAAATTAAAAAGAAAAGAAAAGAATGTCACCTAATAAAGGACATTTAGGATACTATTATTTACACAAAATTACCCCTGAAAATGAATTAAATGCTCTTTTTTTGGGGAAAACAAACCAAAAAAATTAAATTCACTCTTCAGCAGCTAACGCCAGCAGACTCAGCGGTTCTCTGGCTTGCTGGCCCCATCTCTGAGTATATCTTTACACCTCCAATTGTGTCACCCCCTACCCACCCACACCCTTCCCCACAACCCTCGTTTCCCCTTTTTCTTCCCTCTTTTAGATTCCCTTTTTTGCTGCGTCTTCACTGTCACCCAAATTTATTTGTATTTAATTCGAATATATATACATATTTCTGTGTCATTGGATTAACGGTGGATGTGAAAACAGTAAAATTGGACAATTGGATCGAGATTTTTGTTACCGGAGATGGGCGATTCTACGAATTCAGGGGAGCGAGATTTTGTGGGAGAAGCTTCTGGAATCGTGGAACAAGCGAAGGAATTGCAAGACGCGGCTTCTTCCTTGATCTCCCGCACCACTCGCGAAGAGGATTCCTTACGGCAGAAAGCCAAATCGCTTGATTCGAGCATCCATCAACTCCGTTCATCTGTTCGGAAAAGCAAACTGGATTCTGATCAAGCTGAAAAAGTAATATGAATTTTTTAGTAGTGTATTATTATTTTGTTGATTTTTCGTTCATATATGTGCACATGCATGTTGTGTTACTGCCCTGTGGTGCTCGTTCCACGTGTATTTTGATATTGTTACAGTACTGCAGAGATGTCACTTATTATGTTAACCGTTTTTTCATGCTTAACGATTCACAGTTGGAAGAGGAGTTGTTCAAAGCTAGTTATGTACTCAGCGAGGGAGATGCTGCTGCTTTTCTTCCGAGCAAATCTCATGGTCTGTTTTTTACCCTTTGTTACTGTAATTACTATTATTATTTTATTATGTTGGTGTGTGAGCCAGCTTGCGCGCACTTGGACTATTCCACCGTAACTATGCCCACTTAGGTAGATAGGAAGAGATCACCTAGTATTTTTTGCCTTCACTAAGATTTGAACCTGAGACACCATGTTTTTTTTGTTCCTTGTTATTATTTCTATTTGCTTGATGTGTGGCCTAAATTTAAGATTGTATTGGTCGTGTTTGGTCTTGATCTGGTCGATTGCAGGAGGATTCTTGAGGATGTTTTTGGGACCAATCAATGTTCGTGCTAATAGAAAGGATGTGCAACTGAAAGTGAAAGAGGAATACAATAGTTTCAGGGTACTTTCCGAGCTTTAATTTTTAATGTTTAGCTGTGTTTAGCTTCTGCATTAGCGTGGTGATTAGTTTCTCCAGTCTTGGAGCAGTTGATAAATCAATCTAACAAATTGATGCTCTTTCGAGAAGCTGTATTACTGTTAATATTGTTAATGATTTTGGTTTGCATGTACTATCTACTTGTCAGTTGGAAAAATAAGGATGCTGAGCATGATTTGCATGCTCTATCTACTTGTAAAGAATAAATAAGAAAAGCAAAAAAGAGAAGATGGAGAACTAACAATGTTCATGTAACGCCGCTTCTGCATTGTCAGAACTTGATATTTTTCGACGCAAGCCCAACTTTTGAGAACCTTATTTTCATATGTATCGTCACTTTTTCATGTGTGCCATGCTTGTTACTGCATAATATTTGAACTCTTTTCAAATTATTTGTCCAAGTTTTTTCCAACGATTGATACTTTGTCATAAGGGAAGAAAGCTAGTCTTGCTTCTGATAGAACTTAGAAGTAGTGAACTTGAACTTGAAATCATTCCACCATTCCCACCAGTTAAAATGCAAAAATGACTTAGGATGCATAAAAAACATATGTTATATGGAAACCTCTTTCTTGTAATTACTACATCCGATCTCTCTTGACAGGACAGGACAGCATATCTATTTCTTCTTTTCCCATCTTTGCTACTAGTCTTGAGGTCTTATATTTGGGATGGATGTTTACCAGCGTTGCCAGTCCAACTTTACCAGGTAATACGTTTAAAAAGAGGCCTTTCTCACTCAACCTGATATCCTTTGTGGTTTTGTTTTCCTATTTATTTGGTTCTCCTTTGGTGAAAAATTTACATTTGACAAACGAGTACGCTGAGCTCCTCCACGTCTTCAGGCGTGGTTGCTTTACCTCTACACAGGTTTGGCTCTGCGAGAGAACATTTTGAGAGCGAATGGAAGTGATATTCGTCCATGGTAATTGAACAACATTCCCTATTGCCTTATGTAAATTTAACATATGCTCTTTGTTTTAAATTTGTCAAGTAAAACCCTCATCTTTGTCGTTTAAGTAACTAAAGAAGCAGAGCAATTTTAATGATTCTAAACTTTTTTTTACCGGTGTCATCTATTTTAAGCACAAAAACAGCTGATTAATTAGAAACTATGGCTGTGCTGTTGCAGGTGGATTAAACATCACTATTGTGCTATGGCTATGGCACTTATAAGTCTTACCTGGGAAATAGAAAGAGAACCTAGCTGTGCACAGAAGCAGGTCTTTGTTCAATTAAATACTTCATGTATATTTATTTAGCTGCTTATCAACAAAAAGTGCACTTTTCTATAATGTTTAAGATTTATAATACTCCAAAATATATTGTGCTATCCTTTGCAGAAGGGTGTGCAACTGTTCCTGAAATGGGCTATCATGCAAGGTGTTGCTATGCTGCTTCAGAATAGATATCAAAGGCAAAGACTGTACACTCGCATTGCATTGGGAAAGGTGCACAAACAGCAGAATTATTATTTTCACTGAAAAGCCTTTCGCCTGTCGTAATTTGTCCTGTTTAAATATTTATCTTGAGAAGCTTCACTAATCCTGTGCAGATAGACTATTCCTTTTTATTAAAAAAATAAATTCTAATAGTAAACACCAAGATGGTTTTGGGTTACTCCAGGGTATCTAATGCAGATAGGTTTATATATTTCTCTGCCCCTCGGGTTGGATTACTGACAAAAAGCTCTGGGGATTGATGTCAAGGTCACTCTTTTTGCTCCCTCCTGTTGAGGGAATGAGCTTTGCCTTGTGATTGAATAAAGAAAAAAATATGTTTTCACTTCCTATAGTCCGATAAACTATCCTAATTCTGAAACATTCTACTGAATTCTGATTTCAGGCCAGGAGAATGGATGTTGTATGGGGAGAGACTGCTGGAGTAGATGGTCAATTATTGTTGCTCTTCCCTGTACTATTTATCTTACAGGTATGGTCAATTATTGTTGCTCTTCCCTGTACTATTTATCTTACAGGTATACTGAGTTCAACTTGGCTTTCTACTAATTGCAACTACTTTTTCTCTAGAAATTTTGCTCCTGTTGAAGAGACTGGGCCTTTAGATTTAAGTCAAGTTGAATGATGTTAAGTAGTCCAAGAGCAGAAAACGCTGCTATAATTTTGCATAATTTTGATGTACATAGTGAAATGCATGTAAATGGTTCCTCTTAGTGACTGTCTGGTTCAAGGTAACTAATGTCTATCAAGGATCCTTTTTCTCTTTAACTCACCATGAGTTCCTGCACGTTTTGGGCGAAGTTTCTGAATATTGGAGCAAAAACAGAATGTCATCTGAGCTATAGCAACTAGTAACATTAGATGGTTCACAATCTGTAGCCTTTTATGACTTAAGCTAATCAGCTTTTGTGGATGATATTTCTTTTCTAGACTTGAGTACATTCAACAATAGTTCAGTATACTTATTGAAGAAAAGGTCAATTTAATTGGTTATCCCTGTCACGTAGACGTGTTCCATGAAATTTATCGATGCAGTTCTATCTTTTGAGGCTGGTCCCAAATGACTGTATGCCGTTTGTTCTTGGTGTCAGGGATTTGAAGCATATGTTGGAGTCTTGCTGCTTAAAACAGCATTCATTGGTGTTGTTTCCGAGTGGCAGGTAATAGAAACTCCCTCTGTTCCAACATCTGTTATCTTGTTTGCTTGGTGCGGAGGTTAAGGGACGACAGTTCATATAACATATTGCGAGTTGGTTAGGAGATTCTCTATTAAAATACTTTGAGACTGTGAAAGGTGAAGTTCTAACTTACTTTTTTAACAAATTATCTTAGTTTGCTTCTATGGAAATAGAACAGTCAAGTCCAGAAATCAACAATATTAGTAACTAAAGTAGGTCTTCCTTTCTGTAATGTATCTTGTGCAAGCTGCACTGCCAAAAAAATCCTGTTATTATGAGTGCTGGCAGACCCTTCCTATCATTGACTAATCAGTTTCTAAAATGATGCGGTTTTGGCAGGTTGTTACCTGTGGGATCCTTCTGATTATTATGGCAGTAGGGAATTTTGCCAACACGGTGCAGACTCTTGTGACCAAGTCTCGGGTTAAAGCCAAAATGAGGAGAGGTAAAAGTAAACAAGATCTGAAATCTGAAGGCGCCAAGAGTTTGTGATCGGGCGGGTTGGTCCTGTCTAATGTCCTGGCTATGGTGGACGAAGATGCTAAGTTAATCTTCATATACTGTTTTTCTCCTTCATCTGAGTAGAGCCCGTAATGCATCTCTGACACTGACTTTGGATTTCAGAGGACAGTTGCAGGAAATAGTCATGCTTCCAGTCCGTTGAGGAATTATTTTGGTTTGAGGTTGTGGTTCTTTTTGTTTTTAAGTTTTTGCTTCGTCTCCTGTTAAAAAGTGTTATGATGGAAAGGGATATGTCCACATTTAAAAGAACTTTGACCGTCTGTAATTTCCATTGTTTCTAAATTTTGGTACTTAAGTACTAACGATAATTGCAAGCAGCGGATGAGCAAAGCTTAATAAGGAATTTTTGCTTGAAGACTTGCTCTGACGTGTGCCTCTATATTTTGGTATGGTATCAGTTCTATTCAGACTAATAATGCATGTCATGGAGTCTTTTTCCAGGAGGATGCTTCAGTTTAGTGATTTTATCTAGGCAAAATGCATCGACAGCCCCTTAAAGTTGTTCCTATTTTTCACTTAGACACTCCATCTTAAATTCGTTACATTTGAACACTCCAACCATATCTCAAATGTGCCATTTAGACACAATTTGGTAATATGGCATAGTGCGTGTATTACACTATTTTTCAGAGCGTGAGATCAATTTTTTTTAATTTTTTCTTTCTTTCGCACACCATCGTCCAGGTCCACCAGCTTCTTCTCTCTCCCTCCACCAATCCGCCACCATCCACCGTCCACAGATCTCCGGACAATCGCTGGCTCTCTATCTGTGTGTGTGTTTCCTCTTTGCTTCCTACAGGAATTTGATTGGGATTTAGCTGTGAAAGAAATTGATTCAGCAATTTTCAACAGACCGTTTGTAATATGGCCATTATTTTGTCAAATGGAGTCCATCTCATATAAGCATAAGCATCTTTGCAAAGTGTAGACTTTGTTGGCAATATTCTTTGGGACCCAAAAATATTGCATTGTGTGTTGGACATCATTTGCACAAGTTGTATATCTTCTTTTACACCTAAAAGGCCAAAACTTTTTGGTCTATAAAAGGGAAGGCTATTAGTTCATTTTAGACACACCAACAAGACTTGTCTTCAATTCTTGTTTCTTCCTTTCTTCCTTTATTAAGAGTGTTTTGTATGAGAGTTAGTGTTGGGAAGCACTTGTGTGAACCCTTTCTTTGGAGTGATCTTGTGAGGTTATTCTCTTAGGTTATTTGGGATTAATTAGAGTGTTTACTCTAATTTTGTACTCTCGTTTGTACTCTTATTGTTATAGTAAATTGCTTCTCTCCGCTTGTGGACGTAGATCACTTTGACCGAACCACGTTAAATTTGTGTCTTCTTTATCTACTTTAATTGTCGTTGTTATCAACTTTCATTGTCTTTGTTATTGCCATTATACCGTTGTTTGGCTATATTCCGCACTACCCGGGTTCCCGATCCTAACACTGTTCTTGTTCAATTTTGCTTCTGCCTCTTCTCATTCAAATCGCCTAATTAAGGAAACCATCAAATAACCTTTTTTGGCTTCCACTACTAAACAATCTACACTCATAAATTTATCCAAAATTTTACCAAACAGAATGAAAATGAAGTTGAATCCCGAAAACCCCTAGAATTTATTCTTCTTCATTATTTCCTCTTTTCTCAAATCAGGTTCTTTCTTCTCCAATTAGCCCACTAGAGAAATTTTTAAAATAATTATTAAAAAGCTTGGAAACATTCTTGACAACATCAATGTGAGAAGCTTCAGAAGCATCAAAGAAAGGAACAATCCGAGTCGATGGTGCTATTGATATTTACTTTGGGGGTGGAGATTAGGAGGAAGAAGAATGGTGGCTGGGGTTGGGGTCGTGGGGAAGAAGACGAAGGGATGGGGTTGGGTTCTTGTTTTTCTTTTAATTTATAAAAAGTTTATTTTAGTTAAATTCACGTGACATCGTCTTATTCGTCATTCTGGCGTGTGAATTACACGTTTCTTTTATATTTGGTTGTCTTTTAATTTTGTGTCTAATTGACACATTTGAGATGTGCTTGGAGTGTTCAATTGGAACAGACTTAAAATAAAGTATTTAAGTGAAAAGTGAGGATAACTTTAAGGGGTTGTCGATGTATTTTGCCTTTTATCTACTTCCAACTATTTGTTTACAAATTATTAAAAAAAAATGATCAGGTCTGGGGTGCTATGATTTTGTTGGGTACTAATAAATTTCAAAATGTCAATAGCAGGTAATTAAAGATATGAAACACAGAATCTACACGGACTTGATATAATTATTTTCTGAGATGCATTTGGTCCAATCTTGTTGTTTTATTCCTCCTTTTTCCAATGGTTTCTAATATTACAAAAGTAAGAGAATGAATGGGCCTGTATTGTTTGGATAATGAAGTAAACTCTGATTGAAGAAATGAATTTAATGATTGATTAACCAAATTTTATTATAGGAAGTAGAGTTTGCACCACGCATAGTGACTCGTATGACTTGTAACTTCGTCCATCTTGTTTGTATGCAATTTTGGCTATTACTTACTGTTGGATGAGATATCATAATCTTTATGTTTATTCAATGTGCGAATGCACTGTGGTTTAATGGAAGATGCTGTCAAATTCGAGTTCCAACTTGTCTGAAGAAGGCAGTACATTAGCCAAGATGTTACAGTTCTAACTGCCGTGCAAAAGTTAGTTTTCCTTCCTCCCAATTAACTATATGTGAAAAAAGTGAGTAAATCCCCCAACTTTTAGTTATCTGTGACATTTTTAACCACGCAAGTGTGACATTGATACACGAGTTTCAACATTATCCACTTTCTCTTCATTCGTCTACCATGAAATTGATCACGGAGGAGGATAACTCTCAACCACAACTTTTCTTCCTGATAACAAAACAAGAGTAAAGAAGAAGAAAAAAACAAGAAATTTGAGGCTTTAAGCCCACCTACCTGTTTCCTATAACTATCCAATTACAAAATGCTGAAGGTTCCCCAATGTAGTAGTGAAGTCGCAAGTGGCAAAAAACATAATGTACATAAAGTACAAAAGGATTGTAGTACAATCAATCTTAGATAATTGGGAAATATATTTATTGCACCCGATGTTTACACCAAACTAATTAATGTAAGACGTGTTTTTCATGTACACGTTTATTATGTAACCCTGGTTAAGTGACTGATTAAAGTTCTAGGTGGACTTCATAAGAAATATTTGAATCTATTCTCTATTTCAATCATTTGACAAAGCAAGAGAAGACTATAATAAACTTGTGATTCACCAAAAAAGATGTTATAAATGTGAGCTTTCCTTTCATTTTTCAGTCACAGACTCAACAGAGTTTTGAATCTTTTCATACGCTAACAACTTACTTAAAGTAACCAGTGGGGAGGCTAAAGCTAAACAAAAATGCCAAACAAGCAAATCTCAAAGAACTATAGGTTATCCCGGGAGGTTACAGGTTTTGTGGTTTCATCATTCTGCTCTTCATAAGGATGCCCATACTCCTCGGGTCCCTGGTATCTCCGGTAGGAGCAGGTTTACTGTTGAACTTGGCTCGAAAAAACCAAGTTTTTCCAGCAGTCTTTTGAATAATATACCTGCTGCATAAGACACACCCGAAACAGTGAACCCCAAAATAATGTAAGTAGCTATAGTTTTGAAGTAAGATTTGGGTGCTCTTTGAACATAGGCCTTTCCAGTTGCCAGCATTAAGATGCATACAAGCGAAGCTGCAGCAACTGCCACGAGTTTGAATTCCCTGTCATCACTCTTGCGGAATGAGAAGCCGAAGACTATTGGAGGGACTAGTCCAAATATGATATATGATAGTACAGCAACTACGGCATGCATTGTGAAGTTTTCTCTCCGGCCTAGTAGTTGTCGATACCTATCTACATGTCTCTCCATTATCTGGTTGCTGGCTTGCTCATAACGATCTCTTTTCAACTCCCAAATCTGCAAGTTTATGAAGTCAGCAAGAGATAGAGTAAATTGAACTGAAAGCATGAGGAATAAAACAGACGGACTGATTTGAGTTAATTTTAAGCAAGAAAGAAATCCTGGCGTCAAAATGTGGATACATGAAGCTTCTCCCATCTATACAAATACCAGTTTAGTCCCTTATATAAAGGGGTTGTCTAAAAGCTTCAGGTTATCATGGTTCTTCTGCGCCATAGCTAATAGCTAGTTTATATTAAGGAGATTGTCTCCCTAAGTAAATAATGCGTTCCTAACAAATATGAGCACAAAATGCTAAAGCCAACTTACATTGTGGAAAATGATGAAAAGCCCACCAATCAGATTAGCCATTCCCAGAACTAAAATGTTCACTGCAGTAGACATGACGATACCATCAAAACCAGCAGAAAGTTTAAAAGATGAAGTAGGGAGCCAGAGCTTTTTATAAAAGTGGTCTTTTCCTCAAATAATTTCTAGATATTCAAGAAAATGGAATACACCAATTGCATAATCAAATTGTAACTGACTGCATAAGTCACTTAGAAAGTTTTGAATTAGCCTAAAATCAAATTGTACTATTAATCCATATAAAAAAGATAATTTTCCTGGATAAACTTGTTGAAGGGACTATTGCTACACCAGACGAGGATAAATGAATAAGAACTAGCAAAAATTCAGATAAAGCATCAGCTTAAGTAATTAACTATGTTATGGATGATTGAAACAAGATAAGAACTCTTCTCTCGTCCAAAGATAATAGTAAGATCTGTACTCTTACATGTAGTTGTGTCGCCACCAGCTGCAGATGATACAACACTTAAGCTTGCAATTGACTCAGCTAAACCCCCAAATATAATGCTTTTAATGATCTCAATTCTGTAAACTTCTGCAGTATCAGTTCCTTGTCGTTGAACAATGTGGATTTGAGTATCTAGATTTGGTGAAGTTTCTGCAGTTTCATGCCCTGCTTCCACAGTTATAACAGTGTCCTTGCCTGTCACTCAAGTGAATCAAGAAAATTAAGCTACATAAAACTCCCTTTTACAAATTAGCACTGCAGGGAATATACACTATCATCTTTATTCAATATCTCTTCAGCATAAATTATTCAACACAAAGCACAATAATTCTACAAGCCTAGTTTCTTCTTTACACTCTGTTTGGATCATTGTTACCTATCATTTTATAATGTATCGTATTGTACTGTATTGTATCGTTTTATGAATACAATATTTGAATAGATTGTATTGTTTGTTGTTGTTAAATAACATTTTGCTGTTTGGTTTGAATGTATCGTACAGTACTGATAAGTTTACAAAAATAACCTCAATTGTTTTAAATATTTAATTTATCAAGAATTATGCATAAAAATAATTTAAGAAAAGCCATTTCTACTAATTCATCACCAATTATGTCTTA